AAATATAGCCTATGTTAGTTAGTGGTTACATAGCTTTTCAATGGTGTTAGAATTATTTACATCGGCCCAGTAGTTTCTGAGTTAGTTCATAATATACAAAAATACACATCTTTCCTCTTATAATATTAGTATAGAGAAAAGCATGCAGTTTATTAACTGTCTGATATAACTTTTAAAGTGGTCCATGTGGATCCCTACGGGTCTAAGGCCGCTTGGTGGTCAAATTGGTGGTCTAATGAATTCTATATAGAGGTCTATAAAAAAATTTATCTGGTTTCTGAATACTGAAAGCTTGCAGTTAGATGTGTGAATTACAATAATGTAACAAAATTGTAAATTGGCCGCTGTTTCTTTCGTAAATTAGGATGAATGTAGCAGATTTTGTAGTTTTTTTTTAAATAAAACACAATCCAACAGATTTTTTTTAATTAACCAGAAATATATGAAATTTTAATAGTAGAGTTTATTTCCTAGGTGGATATAAACAGCCTACCACAGATACGCAACCCGCAGCCCATCACCAACAAGCTGAGCATTATGGTACCGCAGGCGGTGCCGGAGCCCTGCAATAAGCACCCCTGCAGGATCATACTACCAAGTAAGTTTAAGTTATGGGTAAAAATTTAATTGTCACTATGTCCATCTATCAAAGTGGAAAAGTATAGACAACATTTGGTTGTAAAGTTTTTGCTAATTTACTCATTTCCTAAGTTTAATAATGTGATAATATAGCTTAAATCTTGTCACAAAGGTAGATTTTACTTTTTAAAAAATATTTAAAACAAACAAACAAAGTAGTGTGTGTTTTGTCTCGGTGCGACTCTTCCACATGATTCCGCATTTCTTGTATTGTGTTTTTCCAATTTTTTCACCCCCTAAATTAAATATCGTAGAGATATACAGCCTAGCGTGTCGTAAGTATTACTTTTTGTTAGAAAAATAATTATTCAAAAATATACCGTGATTGCTGACATCCTCCACAAAGTAGTGTGTGTTTACACTTATATTTGTTTAGACTTTCTGTTCCTGTGCGGCTTTTCGCAATATTTTTGACAAGTTCAGATAGGGATAGCTCGGCATACAGTATGTGGTTGTTCAGACGAGTCGCGCACGACGAGCCTAGCTCTGCCGGAAGTGCACTGTGCGCTGGCGGAGCTGGCGGCGGCGCAGCGCGCGGCGTGCGTGGCCGCCGAGGACGCGCTCGCCGCGCTGCTGCAGCCGGACTCGCACTGGACGCTCTGTCTGTCTGTCTGCAAAGTCCTCACACCAGGTAAAACACAGAAATACATATATTACAAAGATTTTACCGAATACGTATGAATCTACATTTAGAGAGTATAGCTAGTTATACTTTATTAGTAACTAGCTGTTGCTCGCGACTTCGTCCATGTGATATAAAAAATTGTAAAAGTATAGCCTATGTTACTTAGCTATAACGTAGCTTTTTAATGGTGAAAGAATATTTTAAATCGGCCCAGAAGTTTTTGAGTAATACAAACAAAAATACAAATCTTTCTTCTTTCTAATATTAGTATAGATTGAATTATCAAATATTAAAATGATTTCTCAAATGCATTAATTTTTTAATTAAAGCATTCAAATACACCGATTTGTACAAATGGATAGGTTTGTTTACTACTACTTTCATATTTAAACTGACACAATTATCCCCTATCCCGTTGCCACTCCTGGCGACGGCCGGTGTGTCATAACACCCATGACATCCAATATGTATACAGAGGGTGCCAGCAGTGTGCTCGTGCTGGGTAGCGATGTGTACGCAGAGCGGCACTGCGCCCGCGAACGCACGCGCCTCGCCTTCACACACCTACTGCACCACGCACTATTACCGTGAGACATTATATTATACTTGTGTATTTATTATGTTACCCGCGTCTTTATTGGAATTCAATAAATGCCTATGTATTATTCCAGACTTAAATCTATGCCAAATTTAATTGAAATCTGTTCAGTAGTTTAGGCTACAAACTTAAAAACATCCGTCTAAATTTTCGCATTTTAATTAGTAAGATTACAATAACAAAGTTTGTGGTATAAAAGCTTAAAACATTTGATAAGATATTTACAATTAAATTGTTTAAATGCTAACAGCCTTGCAAATAAACGCGATATAAAATTAAACTGTGTGTGTATTACAAATTTTGCTTATACTCAGTTTTTTCTTAAGTTTAATTTTATACCGCGTTTATTTGTAAAGCTGAAAACGTTTATAAACACACTACCTGTTCCCCTGCTTCATCCGCGTGAAATAATAAAAAAATATTATATTGTTTACATTTGTCAAATTCTCAATTGTAAAAGTCAAAATTACCAATACCATAATGACATTGCTTCCTTAATGTTGGCAGCTTATAGTGTGTTATGGTCCCTTTCCCACATGAAGGTTTTCCAATTTATTTACCCCTCAGTTTAATAGCGTTAAAATATAATATAGCTTAAAGCATGACGCACGTGTAGAGCTTTTTATAAAAAGAATTATTCAAAAATATGCTGTAATTGCTGACATCTTAAGCAACAAAGAAGTGTGTTTACGCTTTATTGTAAAAGTATAGATTAAATCTTCAGATGTATTATTTATTTTATACAGAGAAGAAGAGAAAGAAAAATTATATTATAAAAGCAAAGAAACACCAACGGACAATACAGAAAACTGTTCATATATGACTCAAGATCTAGACGACTCCAGCGATGATGAACGCCCCTTAATTATAGTTGCAGGTTAATTTATATTTTAACTAGCCTTCGCTCGCGACTCCGTCCACGTGGAAATAAAAAAAATAAGTAGCTTGTGTGTTCTTCTAGATTATCTTCTATTTCTATGCCTAGTATCATCGAGATCCATTCAGCAGTTTTTACTACAAAGTAACAAACATCCATCCATCCATCTATATAATATTAGTAAGTTTTAAATATGAAACATTGTTTGTATTTCTTTTTATAATTGTTATTTAAACTTTTAGATGAATTGCAAGCAAATGCTGCAGATGAAGGTGCCACTGGTAAAAAATTGACTTCTCCGTCCGATGAAAATAGTACAAATTCACAAAATAAAGAAAACTGTGATCTCTACAAATGTACATGTGAAGGTAAGATTCAATTGTTAATTAAATATTGACTTTAATTCATAATTAACTGTTTTAGTAGGGATTTGTAGATGTTTATTTTTGTACCTTTCACCGAGACTACATCTGCATAGAATTAAGAAAAAATTAAGTAGTCTATGTGTTTAACCTGACAATTCTCTACATCCATGCCAAATTATATTTCTATTCTACAGTTTAGGCTACAAACTCTAATGAACATCCATCCATCCATCCAAACTTTTACATTTGTAATATTAGTATGATTTGTACACAAAGGTACGATATACGAGCGTCCTCCGCCGCGCTCCTTCACCAAGTGGCGTTTCAAGAGCCCCAGCAATTCCGACAGCTTCAGTGTTATTATTCACTGCACACATAAATTAAGGGTAAGATACTAAAATGCAACATTAATTAATTTCCCAGTGGTATTAATGTTTATTTTATAAGGTGGTAAATAAGCAGATATCTGCAATTACAGCGTTGCTAACCATTTTTAGATGGAGGAAACGCACATAAAGAGGTTATTTCCCCTTCCTTTCTTGTGTGTGAAGTCAACCAACCCGCAGTAGACCAGCATAGTTGACTATGGCCTAGTCTCCCTTTAGGTGACTAAGTAAACTCCAAGCCTCTGGCATACCATTATCGTATATTTTCCCTTAAAAGAAGGTAGATAGAGAAAGAGACATGAATGAAGTGTCCGGTATACTCATCAGAATGTAAGCGGAATTGCTCTCATCGTCTTCTGTATGAAGATGTGGGTTACCAGTGTTATCTTGGTGTTTGTGCAGGAGTCGTCAGGCGAGGTGTTGCTGGCGGCGCTGCCGG